CTGTAAATCACTCTTCTGTTCCCCCACCCCTCGACTATCTGTTACTTTGATGTTACTTCCCCTTGTGAAGCCCTAAGTCAACTAAAGGGCTAATGATAACTAACAAAACGCCTGCCATTTAAAATAAATAAATACATTTAAAAATCAGATTTTCACAGGACTCTCTCTTTTATTTCCCCTATTACCCTTTTATTAGACTAATGGCCACTTAAAATCCAGGAGGAAGAACGGTGAATTGCAGTTCAGATAATGGTTCCACAATTAAGGAATTATAAGTACCTCGATAAAATTGAATAGGTGATAATTGGCCGACTGATTAGTCATTATTTGAAGCGATGACTTCTTCTCAGATAATCTTACGAACCCGATTGTGAGTGTGAATATTCAAAATCGATAATCCAATTCATTCATCCAATTCAATTAAGCGTCCCAACCATTACAATGTATTAAGTAAATCCTTATCACCATTTAAATTGGCGCACTTATTAAAATATTTGCTATTTCTCCCAACTCTCATTACCCAATTATATTGAGATAATTGAATCGTACTCCATAAAGCGGAAAAAATACTTTATTTCTGTTTGCTTACTAAATTTTTATATGCCCTAATTGGTTTAAGAATTTACGTTAGCTTCACTTTACCTTACTTGCTCATTAGGTCCAAAGTGCTCTTGAGCAATCGCCACTTATCATAAATTTCGATAAAACGCGAACACAAAAATAGTTTTGCTGTGGAGCAATATTTGAAAGTATTAACTGCAAGGGTGTTGAACGGTATGCAAGTGGCAATAAATAAAACTTTCAGTATCATTTATTTTGTTAAGCATCTGTTAATTATTGTTATATGAAATGACGAGGGTTTCCATTGATGAATCGATATAATAATGATAAACCATTTTTACTGTCAGAAGATTTAAAATTAGTGTACATCCAATCACAGAAATGCTCGGAGTTATTCCGACTGCAAAGGTTCCTCCATTTCTTCAAGAGATGGGTAGAGCATGTGACCCGAGAGACTGCTGTAAAGATAGCCATGGAGATGATAGGCCTCCTTACTGCATTGGAGCCAAAGTTTGTCACCCCGTTTGAGTTGGAGAATCGCTTGATTTGTTGCGCTTGCCCAAGGTTTACTCTCGCACCAAGCCGACAATACCTTCTCTCCGTTTAAAAGGAGCCAGGCGCTTGCCTTAAAAAAAAGAAAATTATGAAAGTCTATTAGTAAATAAAGTAAGATTTAGCATGGAATATGCTCTGATTCTTTCAAATAAGCAAGACTTCAGAAAATGCACTCCTTATATGAGACAGATCATACCTTCTCATAACTTCGTGCTGAAACAACCAAGAGGAAACTGTAGACTCCACTAACTTTGGTGGTGAATACACCACTGGTAGCGTTGTAGAAACCACCTATGTTGAGGATGACGGTGTCAAAAATGAGAAGACAGTTGTCATCGGGTGGAACTTGTTCAATGTTCTGTGACAAGCCGATGTAGAAGGCGATTTGTGATTTTCTGGCCAGTTGAAGTGCTGAGGGCGCTGGTTTTCCCGGAGGTCCTTCAGGACCTATACATTATTTAAAAGGACGTTTTAAAAATGTGATCATGGTGAAAGGCTTGATCTATACTTCCGCGCTAAGAAGATTATTATTATTATGAAGTGGGAGATCACCATGAGGAAGAAAGAATTTCAGCATTACTTTATTTCGCACCTCATGTAAAAATTAGAATTATATAATCTTAGAGCAGTAGATTGAGTTGAGGAGACCGAGTGCTGGTCACTGAAGAAGACTTTAATCCTATAAAAAGCTACCTTAAAAGTAAAATCGAAACTTTGTTGAATAAACCTGAAATCGCTGACGAGATTTTGACAACTTGAGTAGGAGCAGAGTCGGTGTGCTTGCAATGCAGAGAGAGAGAGAGAGAGATGTCCTGGGTCAGACTGAGCAAGTGCTTTAATTGAATTAGACGAATATTTTGCTGTGGTCAAATGGGTATTGGTCAGAACATAAACACTGAACCAACAATTTTGCACTTCATATTCATGTAAGAAGACCCTATGACTACTGGTTTCGTTACAACAAGCCAAACAAGGGTATAGATGTCAACATTAAGAGAAGTAGAGATAGCATTCTTGAAGGAATCGATTTCTATCATACCTTTAGCTACGCATTCGATTCTGGTAGATGGCACTTAATTAACTTCATTTCCCACTCCGGGTATCTTAGAAAATATTAGATTTAGCGGTCGAAAAATGACTTGTAATTGCTCATATTAAAATGTTATTGGCACAAAGGAGCGACAGAGCTTTACAATGGTGAGAAAAAAAGAAGAATAAGTCATTTTTCCTCATGTGCCCAAATAAGTCTTTACGACTTCAGGATACTTGAATATGGTAGTCCTTCTAGTACTATTTTAGGGAACATTTACAATGTGCGATAGACTTACCTCCACGTGGCGCACCCTGGGCAACGTATTCTCATACGGCAAAAAAGTCTAAACTGGCAGTTGACTTCTGACTTCAAATTGCCATCACCCCAAAACCGGCAGTTGACTTCTGACTTCAAACTACCATGACCCCCTGGGTAACGTATACTCATACGGCAAAATCTATTTGTGCGCCCTGGGCAACGTATACTCATATGGCAAAAAAGTCTATTACCTACGCCCTGGGCAACGTATACTCATACGGCAAAAAGTCTATTAATATGGCTATTGACTTCTGACTTCAAACTACCATCACCCCATTGTATGGCAGTGACTTCTGACCCCACTGTATGTCATATTCGACTATGACAGTTGACTTCTGACTTCAAACTACCATCATCCCACTCTATGCCATATTCGGGTTTCTAACTACCATCATCCCACTGTATGCCATATTAGACTACTTCCACAGTACTCACCTCATCTTTTTTCTATCTTTGTGCCTGTCTCTTTTTCATCTTTGAAGCACTCATCTATTCCATGCCCCCCTCTCGTCTTTTTTCACTTTGACGCTCCTTCCCCTCTGTGAAGCCTGGGGTCAACTAAAGGGCTAATGATAACTATCATGACGCNAAGTCGCTGTACAAGGTTTTCTATTTTTTAGACTACCTTACTCAACCTCCATCATTGATTGCCTATTTTTCTTGGTTTAAATTTTGCGCCTATTTGGC